TCCTTGTAAATTTAAGTTCCTTATACATGCTGCATATCAGACCTTTGTCAGATGCATAGTTTGTAAATTTTGTCTTCCATTCTGTAGGTTGTCTGTTTACTCTGTCGATAGTTTCTTTTGATGTGTGAAACTTTTAAGTTTACTTAGATCCAATTTGGCAATTTTTGCTCTTGTTGCGATTGCTTTTGATATCTTTGTCAATAAATCTTTGCCTGTTCCTATGTCCAGAATGGTATTGCCTAGGTTGTCTTCCAGGGTTTTTATAGTTTTGGGTTTTACATTTAAGTCTTTAATCCATCTTGAGTTAATTTTTGTATATGGTATAAGGAAGGGGTTTAGTTTCAATCTTCTGCATATGGCTAGCAAGTTACCCTAGCACCATTTATTGAATAGGGAGTCTTTTCCCCATTGCTTTTGTCAGCTTTGTCAAAGATCAGATGGTTTAGGTGTTTGTTCTTATTTCCAAGCTCTCTCTTCTGTTTCATTGATCTGTGTGTCTGTTTTTGTGCCAGTACATGTTGTTTTGCTTACTGTAGCCCCGTAGTATAGTTTGAAGTTGGATAGTGTGATGCCTTTGACTTTGTTCTTTTTGCTTAGAATTGCTTTGTCTATTTGGGCTCTTTTTTGGTTCCATGTGAATTTTAAAATAGTTTTTTCCAGTTCTGTGAAGAATATCATTGTTAATCAGACAGGAATATTATTGAATCTCTAAATTGCTTTGGGCAGTATGGACATTTTAATGATACTGATTCTTCCTATCCATGAGCATGGGATGTTTTTCCATTTGTTCATGTGAGCTCTGCTTTCTTTGAGCAGTGTTTTATAATTCTCATTGTAGAGATTTTTTACCTCCCTAGTTAACTGTTTTCCTAGATATTCTGTTTGTTTTGTGGTAATTGTGAATGAGATTGCATTCCTGATTTGGCTCTTGCCTTGGCTGTTGTTGGTGTATAGGAATATTAGTGATTTTTGTATGTTGATTTTGTATCCTGAAACTTTGCCAAAGTTGTTTATCAGCTGAAGGAGCTTTTGGGCTCAGACTATGGGGTTTTCCAGATATAGAATCATGTCATCTGCAAACAGGGATAGTTTGACTTCCTCTCTTCCTATTTGGATGTATTTAATTTCTTTCACTTGCCTGATTACTCTGGCCAGAACTTTCAATAATATGTTGAATAAAAGTAATGGGAGAGGACATCCTTGTCTTGTTCTTGTTTTCAAGAGGAATGCTTCCAGCCTTTACCTATTTAGTGTGATGTTGGTTGTGAGAGTACCTCATTCTTGATTATGAACAGACAACAAAGGATCATCAGCCTTCTGAGCAGAGCCTCAAACATGAAAGCCAAAAAGCAAAACAAAGAGTCTCAAAGAGAAACAGAAGCAATGCAGCAAACTGAAGAAATCTTCAAAAACACACTAGAATTGATATCCTCAAAGAAATACAAATTGTATTCATGGGACAAGAAAAGGGGCAATTAAAAAAGACCTTTTGGAGAATAAGAAGAATTTTTGCTAGTTAGAATATGATAGCAGAAGTTAAAACTTTGATAGGATGGAAGATAATGAAAGAATACAAAGTTAAAAGTGGTAAAATGGTAGAGAAAGGATAAGAAGGTTAAGAGATCTGTTCAGGAAATTCCACCTCTGAAATAATAGAAAGATGTTCCAGACAGAAACAGAAATTTGATTGGAAAGCATCATTCTCCCTAGGGTAAATTTCTGAAAACCAAATAAATGAGTTTCTAAAGGAAGTACTCACCAAGTGCTCAGCACAGAGAATGACAAAAGATTAACGTGATGATACATTGTGATCAAATTGAAGAATCCCAAGTGAAAAGTAAACAATTTTATTTCAGAAAAAGCTTCTGAAGCAGGGGGAAGGGGGGTGGCCCACCATACATCACACAAAGAAATAGAATTGAGAATGTCATTGGATTTCTCAGCAGCATCACTGGAAATTAGGAAACAATGGAATGGTATCCTAATTTTCTGGTGAATATTTTTTCAAATATATGATTTTCTATTCAGTCAAACTGTTCTGTGTGAGATAAAATAACGTGTTCAGACATCCAGAGTCGCAAATTTACTTCCAATGCATAGGAAATTTCTGGACGATTTGCTCCAAGGAGTAAACCAAGAAGGAAGAAAACTTCAGAACCAGGGTATAGGAGAATTGACATGAAAGAGAGATGAGGACAGTTCCTGAAGTGATGGAGAAGTGAAGTCTTATGATGACAGTTGTGTAGTCAAACCAGGGCATAAACCAGACTACAGTAGGGGAATGTAAAGCTCCAGGAAGGCTACCTCCTGGAAAAGAAATGATTTGGAAAGATTATCTGTTGTGTCTGAAGGTGTCGGAAAAAGAATTACCTCTCCATCAAAGATGGAAGAAGAATAAAATGATGGTACCCAGAAAACTACGAAAGAAGAAAAGGAGACAATTTTTAATTCCAGAGACAACAGAAAGTTGTACAAGAAAGAAATATAATCATGGCATTATATGTGGCTCACAAGTGAATAACAATATAACTACTAAATATAATTTAATAAAAAGTACTGATTTAACTATATTGGGAGGATTAAGAGAAGAGCATGTAGATATGTGTAGGAGGGTCAATTCTTATTAACTACCTACCTCAACATTCATTTTGCCTTGTAAGTAGCAGAATATATCTGGGCGCTAATCTTTAAAGGACGACACCTTCCAGCTGCATGTATAGCTAAGTATGGCCATATATCTAAGTTCAGTAGAAGTATTCAGTGGTACTTTAAGGAGATTGACTTAAAAGGGATGGAGTAGGCCATTATTCTCCTCTACCTAGCCTGGAATGGGAATGTAATGATTGAAGCTTTCACCACCATCATGGACTATGACAGTAAAGTACAGATACCAAAGATGGTAGACCAGAGAGTTGGAAGGATATGAGGCCCTAATAACACTATAAAGCTGTGATATTAGCACTGAACTGATTACCAATGCATTTGCTTTATGTGAGATTATATATATGTATTTATGCCATTATATTCAGGTGTCAATTATATGTAGCACAACTAGATCTTAACTGATATGTATCACTAAATACACTAAATAATATACAAAATTAAATATTAGGAAATATCAGTGTAAACATGTTAGAAATATGAGTAATGCAGTAATATGGAGATCAATGCTAGGAGAAACAGGGAAAAAAACATTAAACGTGGTTGCCTTTGGCGGTGGGAATTAGAGTAGAGGCACATGATTACTATTTTTTTTTTATAACTCTTTTAGTCATTGTTACAGTTTGGATGTGGTTTGTCTTCGCCAAAACTCATGATGAAATTTGGGCCTCAATACAGCATCATTGGGTGGTATGGCTTCATCGGAGGTGTTTGGGTCATAGGGGCAGATTCTTCATGAATAGATTAATCCCCTCCCTTGTGAGTGAATGGAGTTTTTGCTCTGGCAAGAATGGATTAGTTCCCAAGTTAGCAGGTTGTTAAAATACAGGGGAAGAGGTGCATGGCCACCAGCTTTCAGCCCATTGTCCTTATTCTTTGGCTTGCAAATTAAGAGTCCCTCCAAATCACTTGACTTTCCTTTTGTCAGAGTTGTAGATCTCCAGAGATGTCCCCAGATGCTCCACATTAAAGATACATCCTTTCATTGCTTTTTCCCCCCAGCAATTATTAAGTGTTTACTAGAGAACTAATTCACATTATCATGGCTGGAAATATTCTCTGATGCTCAACTCCCCTAATCTATAGATTGAGTTGGTTTAAGGTCTCCTTTGTATTACGAGCATTGTTGTTCCTACTGATAGTGACTTCGTTCTTGATTCAGGCAGACAGCTACTATGCTGCCATAAAAACCAATTAGGTGGGAGCTTATTCCTCTGCTGGATTGTGCGGTAACTGGTCTCACCCAAGACTTTCATGTGAGAAGAAGCACTTTCTCTTTATCAGGAAATTTCTAGAATTTCTTGTTATTCACAGCTGAATGTAATGCCTCAGTTCATTTTCAATTGATAATATGTGATAAAAAATGTGTTTTCTTGGCAACCAGTATTTCTGTACATTTATCTTAGAAATAGATTAATAACTGTTTATAGCAACTACATGCTAACACATCTTACTGTCTTTTTAATTAATTAAGCTAAACATCCCATTGCCATGATATATTAGATCAAGTTTGTAACATTACCATATTACTCTTTGGACATTGTGAGTTAGTGTTACCATGTGGATAAAATGTCAGGCATCTTTTTCCTCATGTAAATTTTACTTTTCATGCTTATATACTTACAGTTTTAATTTTGATCCTAAGTTTTCATTCATTCATTATACCAAAAGTTAACTCATATTCTTCTGAATGACTTCTTACCAAAAGCCACACACAAAGAAAAGAATTTGGCTTCCTTGATTTTTTTTCTCTCTTGCTCCCTTTCTCACCATGTGATCTCTTTGCACATGCCCCCTTCCACTTTCTGCCATAAGTGGAAGAAACATGAGGCCCTCACTGGATGCAGCTATCCAATCTTGAATTTTTCAGTCAACAGAATCATGAGCAAAGTAAACCTTTCTTTCTTTATAAATTACCCAGCCTCAGGTATTCTTTTATAGCAACACAGAATGGACTAAGATAGTAATATTTGACATTTTAAATTTGAACCTGTATTACTTTAAGTGAAAATTAAATTAATATTTTAGTTATGTTGTGATTAATATTTATGTTCATTGTAAACAGTTGAACAATACAAAAGAATATAGAGGAAAAGTTCTGCCTGTCTTCAATATTCTTTACATTTCCCCCCTGCCCATAAATTCCACTCTCCTCCCCAGGGTTTAGTTCCCAAGATTTGGTCTCTCTATATTTTTTCTGTACATTCATATAGCATATATAAGAGACATAGTTTCTTCTTCTACTCCTTTTTATTAAAAGTAAGTATATTTAAATGGTAACTTAAAAATAGTACATCCATAGGAGAGAATACTTAAGGGATGTTTGTTTATATTTTTAGAATTTACGATGTAGGCATGCAGTTAAAAAATCAACAAAATGAATTTCAGAAAGTAGAGAAACAACTGAGTCATTTGCAAGATGAGTTAAAAATTAAATATAGACAATCATACATCTTCAGGTAAGATTCAAGAACTGAAAATTATAAAGATTGAAAAGATATGCTTAATACTAACTTTGTAAATAGCCAAACATATTTTAGTAATATGGTTTATTTTCTTTTTTTTTTTTTGAGATGGAGTCTTGTTCTGTCGCCCAGGCTGGAGTGCAGTGGCTTGACCTCTCACTGCAAGCTCCATCTCCCGGATTCACACCATTCTCCTGCCTCAGCCTCCCAACTAGCTGGGACTACAGGTGCCTGCCACCACACCCGGCTAATTTTTTGTACTTTTAATAGAGACGGGGTTTCATCATGTTGGCCAGGATGGTCTCAATCTCCTGACCTCATGATCCACCTGCCTCAGCCTCCCAAAGTGCTGGGATTACAGGTGTGAGCCACCGCGCCCAGCCAGTAATATGGTTTCTATATCTGGTGTGATTGAAAAAAGTGAAACAGCATTATGTTTTCTTTTTTCTTTTTTAAACCATTATATCAATGAATAGTGTTGCTAATTAAATTTAAATTAGGCATATACCTTGTTCTATTAGTGCCTTGTTATTGTTCTTATTTTGTGGGTGTCATTTAGAATGAAAGCACAGTAACTAATTCCCCTCTTCACCAATATTTCTTGGTGTAGTTGATCCTCTGAGTGATAGTCCAGTGACAAGAAAAGTAGTAGAATAGGAAAATTTCCTAAATAATATTAACATAGTCCTTAAATTCAGAAATCTCTAGTGTAAAGCATGTCAATTCTGCTTTTATATAATCTTTGGAGGGTTTATAATACCTAACGATAAAAATCCAGCATTCTAAAGAAACTAGGAAGTACATTTTCTTTCCTAAAAATTGAATTGAATATTTTGAGAATGTTTATGAGAAAGAATAATTCCTTTTTGAATTGAATAACTTTTAGCTCTTAGAAAAGGGAAAGCAATGAGTTAATTCAACCCGGCAAATGACACAGGTTCTGGATGACTAAAAAAGTATGCTGGGTGAATGTTTTGAATGATAAGTTTTTGCTTTTTATCTAATAATTATTACCAGGAATTATCTGAAAAAAATTCTGTGGGCCAATAATTTTTAATTCATTATCCGATAATAACCTATTGAACATCTACCTTTTATAAATGCTTTGCACATAACTGATGCTCAACACATAATTTTTGAATGAATCCATGAATGAAATCCACTCACAAAACAAGTGACCATTTTTATCATCAGAAATCCCCTTGATCCTTTCCTAGAAATCTGGTGTTGAACCAACAGGATAATGCCATCCAGGTGACCTCAACTTTTGTATTTTAATCAGGACTATCGGTATTCACTTTTGGCTTCTGTAATAGCTTTGACCCATATCTGCTGTAGAAGGCTCATCTGATTTATCCACTGGAGCCTTCATGGATGGTGAGATTGACCTTTAAAGGCTGGATTGGGACTAGATCAAATAATTATTGCTGCTTCAGGATATTATGGGACGGATACACTTGATCTTAATTATTTTCATTTTTGCATGTTATCTTCAGTATTTTAAATTTTTGAAGAAACGTAGACATATAAATAGAGTGTTATTTTTATTCTGTATTCTAATTTTGTCATCATTTTGAGTTATACTTTTAACAGCTTATTTTGTTCACATGTTTTCATAGATCTGTGATTTTTGCTCATTTTTAGCCAAAAGATCACAAATTAGGAGTCTGGGATCTGACTTATATAAAAATAGTACATACTAAAAACAATTTTGGAAGTAACTAGTCAACTAGACACTTAGTACAAATTACAGTTTGTAATAGATGAATAGAAATAATTATTGTTTTTATATTCTCACTAGTAGACATAATGCATTCCATAGAAAAAGGCATACTGTTAAAAATAAAATCAAACCAAATTTCTAGAGTTCAGTGACTTTTGTTGCATTAGTGAAAGCTGATGTTAAGCTAGATTATTGATTATTTTAAAAATATTAGGCCATAAAACTTAGTGATTGCTCTGGATAAAGAAAAGGAGCTTGTAATCTTCTCTCTTGAAGAGGTAAAGGATTCATGGGCCAAAACATGGGATGAAAAAAAAAAGAGGTAAGGGAAAGAAACATGAGCTTTCTACTGAGATATAATCATCTTTATTTATGGAGCCTAAAAGGAACTTTCAGTAGATCAGTGAACTATGTTTCGGGGTCCATTGCTGTTTTTAAATTCTTCTCTCATTTGTTTAATTACAGTTGGGCTTAATCACTAGCCTTTAGCAAAGTATTCTTTCATGTTCTGTGTTTTCCATGACATCACTTCCAGCCTGTGTCTTGCAAGGACTCAGCATATTAGTTGGCACATTGGTTGGCTCAGCACATCTGTTACTCAGAATAAAGTGTTTTTTGAAAGTGCAAATTAACTGTAGAAGGCCTATAAAGTAGCTATTAAAAACCTGAATGAAATATAGATATACTTCACCTCACAAAGTTGTGTTTAGTTCAATATTCCAAATCAGACCATATTTGAAATATTCTATCAGTATTTACTTTTAGAGGATTACTATTTTGAATCTTTTTAAAATTATTTGAAATAAAGAGTATTTATTCTTTAATTTTTCTTATTTGTAAAGCTAGACCTTGTCATCTCTAGAATTTTCAATGTCAACTCCAAAAATTTCTCTTGCAGCTCTTTCACTTTCACTTCACTTCTTCAGTCTAATTAAGGATGCTATTATTTTTTCTTATTTTCCCAACCATATTTTGGCTTTACTTTGTTTTCTATCCTTGATCCCAAGTTTATTACCCCATACCTTTTTAAAAACATACTCATTGAGATATAATTTGCACACCACAAAATTCACCTATCATAAGGAGGCAATTTAATTATTTTTAATAAACCTACAGGGTGGTGCCACCAAATGTTAGCTATTAGATTGGCAACCACATCCAATATTAGAACACTTGATTCATTCCAAAAAAGACCCTCCAGACCCTCATGCCATCTTCAATCAATCTCTGTGCTCACCTCCAGCTCACCGGGCAACTAACCTTTCTCTTTCTATAGATTTACACTTTTCTGGACATTTCAGATATATAGAATCATACAATATGTGGTCTTTACGTCTGGCTTTTACTAATTATGTTTTTGAGGTTCGTTCGTGTTGTGACACTTATCCATACTTTTGTTCCTTTTTATTGCTGAATAGTATTCCACTGTATGGATATACTACATTTTATTTATCCATTTACCAGTTGATGGATATTTGGATTATTTCCACTTGTTGATGCTTATGAATAATGCTGCTGTAAACATTCATATACAAGTCTTTGTGTGGATATGTTTTCAGTTCTTTGGAGTAGGTACCTAAGTGTGGAATCACTAGGTCATATGATTAATCTATATTTAATTTTTTCTTTTTTTTTGAGATGGAGTCTCGCTTTGTCGCCCAGGCTGGAGTGCGGTGGCACAATCTTGGCTCACTGCAACCTCCGCCTCCCTGGTTCATGCCATTCTCCTGCTTCAGCCTCCCGAGTAGCTGGGACTACAGGTGCCTGCCACCAAGCCCAGCTAATTTTTTGTATTTTTAGTAGAGATGGGGTTTCACTGTGTTAGCCAGGATGGTCTCAATCTCCTGACCTCGTGATCTGCCTACCTCGGCCTCCCAAAAGTGCTGGGATTACAGGCATGAGCCACCGTGCCCAGTCAATCGATATTTAATTTTTTTAACAGCCAACCTGTTTTCCAAAGAGGCTGCACATTTTACATCCCCACACCATGAATGAGGATTCCGGTTTCTCCATGTTTTTGTAAACACTTACTATTGTCTGTCTGTTTTGTTGTAGTCATTCTAGTGGGTGTAAAATAGTATCTCATTGTGGCTTTGATTTGTGTTTCCCAAATTACTAATGATATTGAGCATCTTTTCATTTGCTTGTTAATCATTTGTATATCTTATTAGTGAGACATCTACTCAAATATTTTGCCAATTTTTAATGGGTTTATTTTCTTATGTGATTGTAAGAGTTCTTTCTGTATTCTGGATATAAGTCCTTTATACGAAATATGATTTGCAAATATTTTCTCCCAGTGGCTTATCTGTTTATTTTCTTAATAATGTTTTTTGAAAAGCAAAAGTTATTTTTGATGAAATATAATTTATCTGTTTTATAGATTGTGCTTTTGCTGATGTATGTAAGAACTCTGTCTAAGCCTGTCACAAGGATTTTCTCCTGTATTTTCTTCTAAGAGTTTTATAGTTTTAGCCCTTCTTTAGATCTATGATCTATTTCAGCTAACTTTTGTGTATGATATGAGGTAAGGATCTAAATTCATCCTATTTCATATGGATATTCAATTGTTCCAGCACTGTTTGTTAGAGGCCATTTTTTTTTTTCCTTATTGAATTGCCTTGGCATCTTTGCCTAAAATAAATTCACCATAAATGTAAGGGATTATTTTTGGATTTTCTATTCTATTCCATTAATCTATGTCTTATGTCAGTGCCACACTCTCTTAAATACTAGGTTTTTAATAAATTTTAAAATCAAGAAATATAATTCCTCTAACTTCCTTTTTTGTTTTCAAAATTGTTTTTGCTATTCTGGGCCCTCCATAATGAATTTTAGGATCAGCTGGTAAATTTCTGTGAAGTAGCCTGCTGGGACTTTGATAGGTATAGTATTGAATCTATAGATCAATTTGGGGAGAATTTCTACCTTAAAATTTTTGTATCTTTCGATTCATGAATGTGGTATGTTTTTCCATGGAGATCTTTAGCCCTCTCAAAAATATTTTGTTTTCTTTAACTTCTTTTATTACGATTTATTTCTAAGTGTTTTGTTCTTTTTATGTTATTATGAATGGGACTGTTAATTTTATCTTGGGGATTGGTCATTGTTAATATACAGAAATAAAATTAATTTTTGCGTATGTATTGTGGATCCAGTGACCTTGATGAATTTGTTTATTAATTCTAGTATTTGTGTGTGTGTGTGTGTGTGTGTGTGTGTGTGTGTGTGTCTTTAGGATTTTCTACATAGAGGAGTTTACCAACACTCCAAGTCCTTTTACCTCTACTCATTTAGTTGTATTTACCCTTAAATCCTTTGGCCTTCATGCCTGCTTCCAGGTTGTTAAACACTAAATCCTTAGTGAGGAATCCTCAATATTCTGCTTAGGCTCCTTGGTGCTATTCATCTCTTAGCAGCCGTTTTTCTTGTCTCTTATTTCACAGAGAAGGTTAAGGTTACCAATAGAGGCAAATTTATTGTGAACCAGATGATGCTTAAGTTTCAGAGTCTCTCACTTAGGGCTTCCTTCCAAGGTTCTGAGAAGGCTTCTGGTGAAAGCAAGATGATTGAGTTGTAATTTGGTTAAAAATTCTCTTTCTACTCAGGTTTTTCCTCTCGCTCACTTTTTAAAAAATTATTTTTTGTGATTCTTCTGTTGTAAGTATACCATTGGAGTAGTCACAGGCATTTGGAGGATCTGAGTAAGGGAAAGTTGACGTAGGAGTACACCATTATAATTGCCATTTGGAAAGATACTTTAGAATGCTTTAATGAAACAAGCAAGAAATTACATTAATTTGGATATATATAGGTTTTTAAAATTAAATAAAAGCATTTATAAGCAAATTAAGCAATAGAAATTATTGTGGCCTAAAGAAGCAAGCTGTAACAACTTCTTTGATCACATCAAAGCAAATTTATTAATAGAAAGAGATCATTTTTTAAAGTTCTTGGGTTATTTGATAATCTAATGTAAGGGAGTTAATTATTCAGATACATTGGAGAAAGATTTAAGTTTACACTGATTTTACAGATATGACTAATATCATTGAATGTAACATACAAATCATAATACACTACTTCAGGCAGACCATCTAAGATAAATTGGCCCATGAGTTTCATTATTTCAAAGACAATTTAATCGCTTTCCAAGAAAACTTGAAATGACAAAATCTTATGTATGAGAAAAGTTTAATAAGAATTTCCCCAAATTTGACAATGCTAAGAATTTATGTGGCATTACTGATCATCAAATTACTAATTACTAATTACCAAAGGCCTCCCAGATACAGTGGACTCTATTCAGCCCTTTTCTGCAGACTTAAACACTGATCACTACATTTTTCTTAAAATATTCATATCCCCTGGCTTTTCTGACATTATTCTTTTGGCTTATCTTCTGACTCACTGATGAGTTCCCCCTAGTCTCCTCTGAGGGATTCTTTTTAATTTCGCTTAAATTAAAATTTAATGTCGCTTAAATGTTTGTGTTGTCCAATGTGTTATCCCTAGCACTTCTCATGTTTCCATTTCTCCAACTGAGGAGGAATTTATTTTATTTACTCTTTCATTCAATATTTGTTGAAAACATATTATGCAGTAGGCACTGTGCTAGATGCTAGAGAGACTGTGATGAGCAAGATAGATATAACCTCTGCCTTATACTCAGGGATACAAATATTGACATACTCTCATGGCTTCAGTCATCACCTTTTTGCTGCTCTCAAATCTGTGTCTGTATTTTATTTGATTATTAAGATAATTAAAACCAGAATAAAATCACTGAGATGACAAAAATGTGATTACTTTGAGCTGTCAGATTTTATGAAGCAAATGCACTGGATCAGTCACTTTGAATTGTTTTACTTATTACTACCCCAGATTTTTCACTGCCTATATAACCATGGTATGCAGGACAAATGCTGTATAAGACTTTAAGATTCTCATTTAGGATCTAAGATGAAATTGCTCTGACCTAATTTTCTCCACTAAATGCTTACTGTTGAATATAAAAGGATTAATAGAATAAATGTGTATGAAGGTAGTTAGCTGTCTTTCTTTGTAGTTAAAATAATGGCAAAATGGAAGTGAGTTAGAGTGACCATACACTTCAGTTTACCTGAGATATTCCTAGTTTATTTGTTGTTTCAGCATAATATGAATACCACCTTCTTCTGCTTTCAAAATTGTCTCCAATTAGACAGTAGATTATATGGTCACTCTAAAACTATTTTTGGAGAAGTTTATTATGCTTACTTTTTTTTTTTTTTTTTTTTACTTTGCAGTCAAAGATTGTCAGAGTACAAATATTTCTGGAATAAGACTCTTTCATTACTTACTTTTACTAAAAGGGAGCTCACCAGTATTAAAAATGAAGTGTATGATAATTACCAAAACTGGACTTCATTGAAAGGAGAAATTTTTCTACAAATTAAATCTATAAGTGAAACAGCCTTGACAGGTTTGTTACATATATTTAGAATATAATTGTCCCTTTTTGGTAAATGGTACATCATAAGTAATAAAATAATGGTATTTCATTTTATTTGATGGGAATTAGGATTAACTTTGTTATCACTTGGTAGAGTAGATGACCATTAAGATCTATTTCAACTCTGAAATTTAATTATTATAGGTTTATCTAAGATAAGCTGTGATACATCTATCTTGATATATGGCCAGGAGTCTGTTCATTACTGTTAAAACCACTAATTTATGTTTTTAAAACTCCTCTTCTCTTAATGAGTGAGTAGCTCATACTAGGTAAGCCTTCTTATAGATAGCAACTATAAATTCTAGAAAAATAGCTACCTAAAGACAGTAAAGAGTGACCCAAACCAAACACAGAATGGAGGGAGTATCAGAAATTAAAAGAAGGCATACTAAGTGAAAGATGCCCATTTGTAAAGGCTACATACTATATTATTCCAACTATATGAAGTTCTGGAAAAGATAAAACTATGGAATAGTTAAACAATCAGTGGTTGCCACGAGTTCCAGGCAGAGGATAAATGAGAAGAGAAAAGAAGATTTTTAGGGCAGTGAAACTAATCTGTATAATACTACAGTAGTGGAGACATGTCATTATACATTTGTCAAAGTTCATAGAATGTACAACACAAAGAATGAACCCTAATGTAAACTATAAATTTTGGGTAGTAATAATAATGTTGATTCATCAATTGTAACAAGTACTACTCTCCTGAAGGGTGTTCATTGTTGGGGAGGATTTGCGTGTGTGGAGAGAGGGGGATATGGGAATTCTCCATACTTTCTGCTCAGATTTCCTGTGAACCTAAAACTGTTCTAAAAAATAGTCCATTAAAGGTTTTTTTTTTTTTTTTTTTTTTTTTAATGTTGAAAGAAATGCATGGCAGTGAGTGATTTTTTTCTTTTTAAGGATATTGGACTGAGAACAGGATACAGTTTGCTCCATGCAAAGAAGCTAAAAATCTGATGGAAAACTGTAGACTAGAGGATAGAGATCAAGGCAACCTCACTCTCTGAGAAGTAAAGGGATATCCCAGAGAAGTGAAAGCCAGAGAAACAGAGCTCAAATTTTGCATATAAACTCTTTCCAAATCTCAGGCTTATCCCTGAAATAATGTGCTCAAGGAAGATGCTAAATAGTCCATCTAAAACTAAAGTAATTGATATTTTAGCTGTCACCTACCCTACGGGAAACAGATTTAACACTTTAAGTTTAGCTAGATTAACTCCTTGTTAAAACAATACAAGAAAAAATAAATACTCTTTGCAAGAACATAAGAATCCAGAGTCTCTGTAACATAACACCCACAATGTTTAGTATACAATCCAAAATTACTCATATCCAAAAGAATAGAGACTGGTTGACTCAGATGATATAATTAGCTGGCCAGGATTTCAAATTAGCTATCATAACAGTGCTCAAGGATATAAAGGAAAATATGCTAGTAAGGAATAAAAAGAAAATCTGAGTAAGCAACTATTAAAAAGTGAGAAATTCAAGAATTGAAAAATATGGTGTCTGAAATAAAATTTCACTGGATGGACTTTTGTAGCATATTGCATTTACAGAAAAAAGAATCAGTGAATTTTAAAATAAATCAATAGAAATTATTCAATTTAAAGAGAGAGATAAACATGGAAAAAAACTGAATGGAGCCCCAGCATCCTCAGGAAAGAATAAAATGCACCATAAGTGACAAATATGAGTAAATATAAAAGACTCTTTTTCCTTTAAATTTTTTAAAAATCACATGCCTATTTAAAGCAAGCATTATTATTTTGTAGGGCTTATAAAGTGTGTCAGTGTAACATGACAACTAGTGTCTAAAGGATGGAGAGGTGGATAAATGGATTCATTTGGTTGCACTATATTTGTATTTTGTGTGACATGGTAGAATATTTAAACCAATAAATTAAGTAGTATAGTATAATTTCTAGAGCAACTACTAAAAAATTAAATACAGAAACATGTAGCTAAAAAGCTAATACATAATTTAAAAGATAACTCTCTAAAAAGTATTCAAACAATCCAAAAGATGGCATTTTAAACATCATCTAAGATTTATGCGGTAATCAAATCAGTATAGTGCTGGCATATGGATCAACAAAGATGAATGGAACAAGATAGCCTGATAAATGACCCTACTTATATAATCAATTGACTTTTGACAAAGACACCAAAACAATCCAATGAGAAAAAGAAAGTCTTTCAACAAATTGTGCTAGAACAACTGAATACCCATGTAGAAAAATATACCTCAACTTCTGCCTCACACCATACATGAGAATTAATTTAGGATAAATCATAACCTAAATGCAAAGGATAAAATTATAAAACTACTAGAAGAAACATAACAAAATATCTTCATGACTTGATGGTAAATGAAGATTTCATGGATAGGACATAGAAGTAAGAACTATAAAAAAATGAAAATTGGTGAATTAGATTTTATCATCATTAAAACATCTATCTGTTCATCAGAAGCTATCAGTACGAAAATGAATAGTTAAATCACAGAGAAAATATTTACAAAATGTGTGACAAAGAACTGTTGTCCAAGTTACATAAAGAATGCCAGAAGTCAATAATAAAAGTATTCAATCAAAAATGACCAAAAGATCTGAACAGACACTTTACACAGGAAGATACATAAATGGCTAAGAAAGACACAAAAATGTTCTCAACATTATTAGCTCGTCTGATTGGCTAAAATGAAATGGTCTGATGGCAGCAGATGTTACTAAGTAGAGTACTGGAATCCTTGTACAAATTTGTGAGAATGTAAAATGCTACAGCCACTTAGAGAAAAGATCTGACAGTTTCCCATTAAACTAAATATACATTTATCCAAAGACCCTGAAATTCCACCCTTTGGTATTTACCCAAGAAACGTGAAAACATATGTCCACAAGATACTTATATGAGAATATTCAGCAACTTTATTCAAGCTTAATTCAAAATATCCTAAAACTGCAAAATGCTCAGGAGTACATCAGTAGTAGAATGTGTTCTCTAAAAGAAAACAGTTGGATATATTCAGTGGAATATGTAATGACCTGCAGATAATGTAGTAGCATGGATAATCCTCAAAAATATTATGCTACTTGAAAGTAGCCTTACACAAATAATACATATTGTATTATTTCATTTATACAATGTTCTAGAAACAGGCAAAACTAATCTACAGAGGGGAAGAAACAGAACAACAGAACAGTGGTTGCCATAGAGGATAGGATTGACTGGAAAAGCACAAAGGCACTTTCTTTGATGATAGTAATTCTTTGTGTTTTGATAGGGGTTTGCATTACACAGGTCGATGCATTTGCCAAAACTCATCTATTGGTGCATTTGAGATTTGTACATTTCTGTAGGTAAATTTACTCGAAAAGAAATATATCCAAATGTTGAACTCTATCTCTATGATGAAATGTTTAGGAGAGAAGTATATTTATGTCTGCAACTTACCTTGATATTCATAGGATGGATTGATGGATGTATAAAGTGTTTGATAGATATATAATTACATGATAAAGCAAATATAGTAAAATATTAATTGTAGAATCTAAGTAGTGTGTATATTTGTGTCCAGTATACAATTATTTTAACTTCTCTATATGTTTTAAAACTTTCATAGTTAAATGTTGGGAAAAAATCATGTTAAACCGTGAAACTTCAATTTCACTTACCAACAATTTTGTTATATAATATGTGCCTTCAGAAATACATTTTATATGACAATATGCTTTTAAATTTGAAATTTAACTTTAATAATTAAATTTAGGCAAATAGAGGAATATTGTAACAAACATGTAAAAAGTATGTCTATATTAGGCCGAGTGTGGTGGCTCATGCCTAGCACTATGGGAAACTGAGGTAAGTCAATAGCTTGAGCTCAAGAGTTTGAGACCAGCCTGGGCAACATGGCAAAGCCCTGTCTCTACTAAAAATACAAAAATTAGCTGGGTGTGGTGGTGCACACCTGTGACCCCAGCTACTTGTGAGGCTGAGGCATGAGAATTGCTTGAACCTAGGAAGTGAAGGTTGCAGTGAACATGTCACTGCACTCCAGCCTGGGTGACAGAGTGAGACTATCTCAAAAAAAAAAAAAAAAAAAAAAGGGGATATCTACATTATTAAATGGAGCAGGCCAGGCATGGCTCCCCAGCACTTTGGGAGGCTGAGACGGGCAGATCACAAGGTCAGGAGATCGAGACCATCCTGGCTAACACGATGAAACCCTGTCTCTACTAAAAATACAAAAAATTAGCCGGGCGTGGTGGTGGGTGCCTGTAGTCCCAGCTACTTGGGAGGCTGAGGCAGGAGAATGGCATGAACCTGGGAGGCAGAACTTACGGTGAGCAGAGATTGCACCACTGTACTCCAGCCTGGGTGACAGCGCAAGACTCTGTCTCAAAAAAAAAAAAAAAAAAAAAAAAAAAAGGAAGAGACACTGAGAGTGTTCTAGTCATATTCTTTGGACCTTTAGTGTTCTTCTGCTGACTTTTAACTTCCAGTATCTGCATATCTGTGCCAGAGGAATCTTGCTTCTGCCACAGTTAATAATATAGATATACTTTACATAATTGTATTTCATTTTGTAAATATACTATATATTATGCATCATTTCCATTATTTGAACATTCGTATGTGTCTTTTTTTGGATATATGTTTTTGTTCATTTTTGGGTAAACCTAGGAGTGGAATGGCTGAATTGTATAGTAGGGTATATTCAGCATTTTAAGAAACTACCCAAGGCTTTTCCAAAGTGGTTATTCCTTTCACATTTTTACCAGCAGTGTATGAGAGCTCTAGTTGTTGCGTATCTTTGCCAACACTTAGTATTGTCAGTCTCTTTCATTTTATTCTTTGTAATGAGGTATTCATATAAAAGATATGAATGTACGTGTAAAATAGTCGTCTTGGTAATTTTCTCATTTTTGAGTGTCTTGTCACATCTTATAGAATACTTA